TCGGTACATCCTAAATGTCGCCGGACCACTCACGGCGTTGTTTACAGCATGTTTTGAAATCTAAATTTCGGAGAAAATTACATATTTGTGTTCACGGGTATCCGTCTTTTATCAAATCACCAATGATCTTTCCAAAACATCTCCGATAACTGTACAATCGTTTCGAATGTTTTGGAAAATACGCAAACACGAACGTCGAAGAGAACTTTCCGCCATATTGGATAGTGTTCACAAAACCTGGTTTCAGGTACACCGATTATAAACGCCTGTAACATCACGTATATTTCAAACTTAGCTGCGATACATACATCCTTGAATTCCTCATACATTTTAGAAGCAAATGACCAATGGTCTTTGCCACCAATACAAAGTGGCCAGGTGTCAAAGCGAACGCTATGCTCGAAAAAAACAAAGCAAAATTCAGATTTTACACAGTGTAGCATTTTCTCCTCTTTTGAGCTATCTATTCGTTCAAGATATTGGCTCAACATTTTCTGAATATGCATGGGAAGAGAATCGTAGGAAAAATTAGGGAATTTAAAATAGATACATTGCAATGGTTTGTTATTTTCAACAGAAATTGTTAAAGTTACCGCTCTGGTTGACTGACGCAAAATCACGCACAACGACAACGGATATTCACTTTGGATAATGTCAATGTTCAAAATGATATGCGTAAATATGAGACAAGTATGAACGAACCTTTGATAATCTCCTGTTTGTTTGAACATTGTTTACATAAGACTTGATAGGTTTATAGTGTCGAATACGATATTTCTTTCCTTTGGACAAGTGTTACAAGATGAAGTGTAAATGTAACATGTACGTATTTCTTCGGATGTGTAATAGTCAATATCAATACTAAGTTCATATAACCAATGTCCATGAATGGCCGTTTCATTTTATAACTAAAACTGAAGATATCACTTTAAAAAAATGGATAGTATTTTTCGTTAAAATATATGCACACATTTCTGAAAGAATTGTCTTGGTCTCGGATTTGTTTTCATGTCGTTTGATACACAGAACAGTGATACCTAACGATTCGCCAAGTGCGCGTTAGTCACAAACAATTTACGAATTATTCCTCTCGTTTTGCATTATATAATCAATGGGTCATTCTTTTTTCAATATTGTGATCACAGGATATTAAACTGTTTAGTTTATTTCTCCAGGAATTGTAAAAAGTATAAAAAATAAAACCCATGCCTGATTGCCAGGTACTATCCTGCTTATTCTATACCAATAGAGATTTCTTCGCATCTTTTATTGTGTAATTCAGAGACGAGATGAAGAGAAACAGTAACACAATAATGAACAAATATATGTCCAATATTGAATATGATTTTGGTTGTTTTGAAATATTCTTTTGGGTATTTCATTACGTAAACTGATGCCAAACAGGTGCGTGTCTTGTCCAATCAAGATACACGATAAACTATCTGACATTTTTTACTTGGTGAAAGCAGTCATTTTACGTTGGGTCGAGAAAGCGTCAAATTTCGTTTTACACGTCGAGATTTTCCATACCATGAACGAAAATTAGGGGAGAAATATTTTAACCAAATACCAGTGTCGTCTTTCTCCTACGTTATCAAAGACATAGAACCAGCCATGACGTCAAAAAGAATGGTGTTATTATTTTGGTATTTCATTACATTTAATGTTAAGGCTAGTGCTCCATTAATAATGATGCAACATTAGTCACATTACACTGAAACAATCAGGAGAATGTTGGAATCTAAGGACTACGCAATAAGGTTAGATAGGGCCATCCATTTCAGTTTTCGTCACTTCAGCGATAGAAACTAATAGTTTAGCCCACTGGTCCTAATAATAACATAATTTTCTACTAGTCCCTAGGATACCTTAACTATTGGACTACAGGACAAGTGCCAATGTTAAACGCTGCACTTAAGGTATGCTAATTTTGGCATTGAATGTATGTCGTTATACATACGCATAAAACTCCATTTGATAGCAGTTATGGCGTAAGGTAGAATTTTGTTCGCTCGCAGTTTCCGTGAAGCTTCTAAATCAAAAAGAATTGTCGCATACTAGTTTTATCGGTCTACGATCAGAAGCGGAGAACATTACTGTTTTTCAACGCAGAAAAAATTCTCGGACAACACTTAGGAGTGTCCTTTTTCAAAATCGGTTTAATATTTGCAGTGGAATTTACACCATCAAATAGGAAATTTAATATTCTCCATCTCTGCGTAATTTTATAGCCAGAGGTCGATCCAGTGCCGCGTGAGCGCAATTCTCGCACAACCTTCACTTTACCGATCTTAGGAAAATGTGGGTATGCGTCAGAAAAAAATAAACTCTGCATCCAGAGGGTTAATATCATTTTCGGATGAATATGTCTCTTCTAATAAAAACGAGATGCGATCACGTGCGTGTTCTAACGCGGGTTCCCGGGTGGGGGGATATAAGTGGTCGCTAGTCTATATGATACAAATATTCCCTGATAAAACCTATACCCCACATGGTTAGGACTTAACACTAGCCCGCTAGTTTGGGGCTAGTACAAAATCAAGCAGGCTAGTACAAATCTCCACATTTCCCCATTGTTTTAACATTACAAGCGCATTTTATCTTTACCCGGGCTAGTAAAGCTTTTGAGTTTAGTTCTAACCCTGCCCCATTAAAGGGCCTACGATACACATGGGCAGGCCAAAACACCTCAATAGATATGAGAAAGTGAGACAAAAGAATTCCGCCTGGATTCTTAACTCTTTCAACACCAGTCAACCAAAAGTGTTTACTGCTGGGACACCGAGTTCCCAGAGACTGTGATAGATGAAGCCAACATTTTTTATCAAAGAAAATATCTGCTTGTAAAATATATTTGCTACTACATGTTATACACCATTTGAAAGGTCTGATCCTATGGTTTATAAATATGAAAGTTACATTTTTCACATTATTTAAAATAATGCATTTACAACTAAATTAAGTTCGTTGTAAATAAAAAATGTAAGCTAACTCGTTTTTAACATTCAGATTAACTCTTTCAACACCGTAGGCCGGTTATCCGGCCAAGCATCGAGTCCCCAGACACCGTAGGCCGGATATTTTTATTGACCTACCTGTAATATCATTCATTTATTAAATCTATCACATTTCACAATGTCAGAAATACGTAATTCATTTGAATTTATCTTTTTTTTTATCGATAAAAATATTCACTATTTCCCGCGATGTTATTGAAAATAAAATTCTCGGACACACATTTCGACAACGGGTCCACATCGAACATGTCAAAGAGCAAAATAAAGACGTTTCAAACAAATCTTTAAATATATTATACAAAGTAAATAAATAAAATCAACAAAAATATATCCAAAAGTAATCAAACTTGCATCTAAGTTACTATTTCCATCTTTTCGTGCGATCGCGTGTATTGTAAGTCAAATGACATCTCGGCTTTCGTCGCCTTGAATTCTCGGCTCTGACACGATGTTTAATGCAAAAATATATGCATTAAAAATCTTTGTCACAGCTCGTAAAGGTGCGTTCTCACGGTGCGATTTGTAGTAACAACTTGTAGCATGCAACACAGTTGCAACGTCTGAACACCCTAATCGTAACGATTTTAATCGCATACAACTAGTTGAAGCCGAGTTGTAAGACATAGAACTTGTCCTAATTCTTACTACAAGTCGCAAGCTCTCCACCAATCATATCGCGTAGATCTGTGACGCCCAGAGTGACGTCCCTTTGTTTGTGTTGACATCATGTCCGAACCCACACTGATTTAGGCTTTCTTTTCTTCTTTTTGAGTGAATGTGATAGATAGACGGATATTAACGCTAGCGTCTCTTCATCACTTGATGAATCCATGTTGCCGAGAAATGCATGAAAATCTCGCGAGATACGAGTTGTATGCGACTCAAAATACTACACAAAAACCAAAGTTGTTACGACCTTTATTGTCACTACAAATCGTATGCTACAAGTTGTTACTACAAATCGCACCGTGAGAACGCACCTTTACCTAGCACGATACATTCACGAAGTTCCATATTTTTACCCCCCGCCCCAACGAAGTTGGCGGGGGATATAGAAATGGGTTTCGTGCGTGCGTGTGTGTGCGTCCCGAAATCGTTTCCGGAGCATAACTCAGAAACCGTTAAATATTTCTCTACGAAACTTTGCATGTCTATCAGACTCATGCTGAACTGGTGCCTTTTGCTATTTAGGAGTTTTATAAATGTTTATTTTTTACGTTTTTCATGGCAACAAGTTGGACTTAGGTTCTATAAGGGTGGTGTTCGTTTCCGGAGCGTAACTCAAAACCATTAAATCCTTTCTTACAAAACTTTGCATGTCTACTAGGCACATACTGAACTGGTGCCTTTTGCTATTTAGGAATTTTATAAATTTATATTTTTTACGTTTCTATTGCAACAAGTTGGACTGGACTTAGGTTCTATAAGGGCGCTGTTCGTTTCCAGAGTGTTCGTTTCCAGAGTGTAACTCAAAAACCGTCAAATACTTTCTTACAAAACTTTGCATGTCTACCAGGCACATACTGAACTGGTGCCTTTTGATATATAGCACTTTTAGAAATTTTTATTGTTTATGTTTCCATGACAACAAGTTGGATTTAAGTTTTAATATAGGATTGGTTTACTTAAGTAGTATAACAAATAAACTGTTAAATATTTCCTTGCCAAACATTGCATGTCTATATATAAAGCGCATACTGAACTAGTGCCATTTCATATTAAGGAGTTTTAGAAATGTTTATTTTAGAATTTCCATTGCAGCTATTTTGACATGGCCTAAGAGAAATGTTGGGTCAGTAACCTGGTTTGGGACCATAACGTTTTAAAATGGGCGGGGGATATAGATGACTTTGTCAACTATACGCTTGTTAATATATGTCGTGATTTCCTGCTAAAAACGTTCAGAATAACACGATTTAACAAAAATCTTTCGCCAACTTCTGAAATGTATCAAACACGAGCTTGGTATCACAGCTGTAATTTGATTGGCTGCCTTAGGTCACGTGCTCAAAATTGACCAATCACGAAAGTTGTAGCAGATTTCGGCAACAAAGCGTCATTAGAAACTAATTCTAATCCAATGAAATCGCTTGTTATAACTACGGGGGAAAAACAGGCGATGTTACGAGCGTGTAGATGAAGGAATAAGCTTTCAAGCGATGTCATATGCCATTCTTCGACGAACGTGTTATTCATACGAAACCTCGAAAACGGGGGTATTTCTTCATGTTACTGAGCGGACAGTCGCTGTTATCGGGAAATGGTGATGACAGAAACTATTTATATTATTTTTTCAAATTACGTAAACAATAAAAATAAAACAGAAATAGGTATCATCACTGGATTGTTTGGTCCAGACTCGATTCCCGATTATTTACAGACCGCCGTCACATTGGAATATTGCCGAGTTTGGCGTTAAACAAAAAAAAACATAGACGAGGGTTGGCGTAGCTTCCCTTTGATACAGAGCAGACCGACGGATAGATCTAGCCGCTAAAAGCAAGTGGACGTCTGAAACATTTTGTGGCAGTGAGCAAGGACAAATGTTATTTTACTTATATAAATTGTCAAACCACTGTCAACAAACAGGGTGTTTCAATTGGAACTACCGTATTCGTAATACCGTAATAAGCACCCTCGGCGCTCTCAAAATTAGAAATAATGGGCTCTTATTAGATTATAATTTTGGTGAGAGAGAAAAAGTTGAAAGATTGTAAATTTCGTGGTTTCGCCTGAAATTATACAAAAGAAAAGTCGGTGCGTAAACTACACAGATAAATTGTCCCGAATTTAATGGTCCAGAATTAAGGGGGTTTATAACACACGCGTGCATATCATACACGACTAAATAAGTCTTGTGTACATTGATCAATCGGAAGGGGTGCTAATTGGGATTTTTCGCTAGCCAATATATTAGCAAATATCGCCTTGGGCGCTTATGATGTCGAATACGGTATATTGACTATATTGTCACTATCCGACTGACAAATCACCCATTTTCGAAAATTCTGACGTAATATATATTAATGCGCACATCCCAGGAAAAAAAACTCGCAATGTTTAGGTAATGTTTGTGAGAGATGACAGGTGTTCCGAGTCTAAGAATGACATATCATGAAGATGTTACCACGCTTGTGTGTCTTGATATGGTATATATCCCGCATTGGAAATAAACGCTTTGTACTTTGAGATCGCGAGACGGACTAAAAAGACAATCATATACACACTGTTCATTCCGGTGGGAATTCACAAAACTTCAGATTAGCTTTTCAGTTATTGAGCATTTATTCGCGTTATCTTTTGCATTGGGTATGTGATATCAACATTTCGTATAATGTATTCAATATCATATATATTTACTCTCTGAAACCTTGATGTTTGATCATTCTTAGCATTCGAACTATGCTTCAAATCTCTTTTAAGTAGAAGTAACATGGATTTATTTTCAATTTCCACTTATATGATTTTTTATGAAGGAGTATCATCATGTAAGCGCCCTATTCCTTTGCCTCAATGCCCTCCCTGAAATGCCTGTTCATCACAAAGTATGCTGTTTCTTTTGGGTGATAAAACTAGTGTCATTGTCCAACTCTGTCCATACTAGATAGAATACATGTTAATCATTTGAATGTACTTTAGTTTTCAGATGAATACCCAACTCCATCAAAAGACACTGCATTTGCAGCAGAACAAGGCTGGGTCCCCTTTGCCAGGTGCACAGCAAGATAAAGACAGGCCAAGCTTCAAATTGTCTTATTTGTGATTAAATATCTGCAAAACTAATGTTTTCCTTTCTTCAAAACTTTATTATGCATGTATCAATTTCATGTAATATAATGATTCAACTTTTAAATTGTCGTGTTGTTTGTTCTATCTGTTAAGCGACAATCATTGGTGTTACATATGGGTAGATGGACAACCGATTATCAGTGGGCGTCGTTTCATAGCTTCTCTCCTCAATCAGATAGATTTGTCTTCCCTGTTTTATATTGTTTCCGTATTCGACGTAATAAGCGCCCAGGGTGCTCTCAAACTTAGAAATAGGGGTCTCTTATTAGAATATTATTTTGGTGACAAAAGATAAATTTCGTGGTTTATGCTGACAGCCTGAAATGTTTATATACGACATATATTTTTCAGAATTTAAATGCCCATAATTAAGGGTGCATATTACACACGAGTGCGTATTATACGCGAATAAATAAGTCTTTTTGTGTATTGACCAATCGGAAGGGGTGCTAATTGGGATTATATAGGACTAGTGCCAATTTCTAACCCTGGTCTTCTTGCAAAATGACATTCAACACCGTAGGCCGGTTTACCGCAGTAGTCACGTCAAAATAGTATATATTTTTATGAACCTACTTGTCATATCATTCATTTATTAAATCTATCACATTTCAATTTATCATTTTTTATCGATAAATTAAAAAAATATATTCACTATTCCCCGCAATGTTATTGCAAATAAAATTTCCACGGGTCCACATCGAAATGTCAAAGAGCTTAGACAAAGTATTAAATAAAACCAACAAATATATATATCTAAAGGTTGTCAAACTTGCATCTAAGTTATTATTTCGGCTCGGACACGTTGTCACATCTCGTAACCTAGCACGATAGATTCACGAAGTTCCTTAATTTTAATATATATCGTGATTTCCTGCTTAAAACGTTCAGAATAACACGTTTTAACAAAAGTCTTTCGTCAACTTCTGAAATATATATATTATATACACGATGCAGTAGCATAGCTGTAATTTGATTGGCTGATTTCGGTCACGTGCTCAAATTTGACTAATCTGGAACCTTGTAGCAGATTTCGGCAAAAAAGCGTCATTAGATTTTTTTATCCAATGAAATCGCATGTTATAACTACTTAAAAAAACTCTAGGCGATGTTACGAGCGTGTAGATGAAGGCTTTCTCGCAATGTGTCAGATGCCAGCCTTCGACGAACGTGTTATTCATAGGAAGCCTAAAAAACGGGGACAGATACTATTTATAATTCTTTTTCAAATGATTTTCCAATTACGTAAACAATGAAAATAAAACAGAAATAGGTAAGTGGTAACCCTTAGATCCTTGAATGGAAATAGAGGCTCAAGTATATATGCATAATCCACAATCCTTAGGGTTAAGTTAACCCTTGGCTCCATTAACTTCCTCACAAACAAGACAACTGACCCGTGAAGATTCCGGGGTAGAATAGGTCTTCAGCAACCCATGCTTGCCGTAAAAGGCGACTACTAACGGGATCGGGTGGTCAGGCTCGCTGACTTGGTTGATGCATGTCATTGATCCCAATTACGTGGATTGATGCTCATGATATTAATCACTGGATTGTCTGGTCCAGACTCGATTATTTACAGACCGCCGTCATATAGCTGGAATATTGCTGAGCGCGGCGTTAAACCAACCAACCAATAAGACAACTTTTGAAGTGGTTCGGGATTTTTATGTGCGTTTCTGTGAACGAACATGCTTAATCATCTGGCCTGGATCAGTCCTGCATAACAGTGAATTGTATTGGTTCAAGAAATATCCAGCTGTTTTAAGTTGGCATTGTGTTCATACCGACAGTGAGAGAAATTTAAAGTCTTGAAAACTTGTGCAAAGAGATATGTAGTCAACGGTTGAAAAAGACAACCATTTTCCAAATGTGTTTTGGACGCATGGTTTAAGGTGAGAAGTCACAGATGTATCTTTCTAATTCCAGACTATGGCGGCCGTTATGGGAACGACGACCCGGACAGCTATCTAGAATGGTAAGTGCGAGACCCGTGTAGAATAGGTCTTCAGCAACCCATGCTTGTCGTAAAAGGCGACTAATAGGATCGGGTGGTCAGGCTCGCTGACTGGTTGGTGCATATCATCGATCCCAATTGCGTGGATCGATGCTCATGATGTCGATCACTGTATTGTCTGGTCCAGACTCGATTATTTACAGACCGCCGTCATATAGCTGGAATAAGGCTGAGTGCGGCGTTAAACAACAAAAATCTTCTGTCTGATCAGCTTTGGGACCCACGGACCATTTGATATTCTGTAGGGCCCCTGAGATTTTGTGTCGAGATTGGATACTTATTCAGCTACAGGTAGAAAACCAGATATTTATTTATTTAAAACAGTAAGCCTGAATTATATTATATTCTAAAGAACACCTTGCAGCAATGTAATATTTGTGGCTCACAATGTCCGAAACGCTTTACTAGCCCCGGTAAAGCTTAAATGTCCGTGTTATGTCAAGAATATGGCGACATTTTGTACAAGCCCGCGGGATATTGTAGTAGCCCCGGGCTAGCGCGTTAGTGTTAATTTCTAACCCTGAATATTACTTCCGAGGGTTAGAACTCAGCTGAAAAGCTTTTCTAGCTGGGTGAAGATAAAATGCCCTTGTTATGTTAAAACAATGGGGAAAAGACCTGGGCATGCAGGCTAGTGTTAATTTCTAACCTTAATTACAGTTAGGGCAAACGCTTTTCAATAAATATTCGACCCGTGAAGATCCGGGGTAGAATAGGTCTTCTGCAACCCATGCTTGCCGTAATAGGCGACTACGCTTGTGGTAAGATGCGACTAACGGGATCGGGTGATCAGACTCGCTGACTTGGTTGATGCATGTCATCCTATACCAAATTGCGTGAATCGACACTCATCATGTTATTCACGTGATTGTCTGGTCCAGACTCGATTATTTACAGACCGCCGTCATATAGCTGGAATATTGCTGAGTGCGGCGTTAAACAAACAAACAAACACTGCGGTTTTGTAATTGTGATTGTAATTATCCCCGCCAGATCTTGAAGTTTAAGTGAAGGGGTGATATAGGAACGAATTTCGTCCGTCCGTCCACTTCTCAAGAGGTTCAAAATGTTCTCGAATACTATAAGTTTGAGAAATAGAAATCTACTCGATTCCTCATTAAACGTTTTTGTAATTAAGCCAATGAGAATGCAAGAAACATTAACACCTTATCCTCAGTCGGCAAAAATTGACCCCTTCAGTCTTGTGTCCCGGCTTTGAATGTAGGGCCTTTTCAAGAAGAAACCTGAACGTTTCCCTGTTCATTCCTAGATAGCATTGCAGTCATTTCTGACCCGTGAAGGTCCGGGTTAGAATAGGTCTTCATCAACCCATGCTTGCCGTAAGAGGGGACTATGCTTGTTGTAAGAGGGCACTAACGTGATCGGGTGGTCAGGCTCGCTGACTTGGTTGATGCATGTCATTGTATTCCAATGCGTAGATCGATGCTCATGATGTCAATCACTGGATTATAAGCTGGAGCCGCCTCTGCATTCTTGGACCATATGTTCTTCGGCCTACCCCGACACCGGCTTCTCAAAATGACAATACACATAACAGCAAAACATTATTCCACAGCAGCTTCCATCTTAGCAAGTGTAAACAGCCCGACTTTGACCAAGAGGTTTTCTTTGACAGTTTTGGATCAAAATATTTTATCGCGTAACGGGGGCTTCGCACTGGATAGGCTTGTTACTTTAATTTTCGTGAATTTATTATCTTTAGACAGAATATTCTTCTCCAGCATTCCAAATTTGAATAAATCTTTACCGCAATATTGTTATTATTAATAATCGGTCAATGTCCTGGAAAGTGAACAGATCTGATACCCTGCCTCTAAAGGTTAGTCATCTTAGATGACGATGTAAAGTAAGATCACCCATCGCAAGACCCGTGAAGATCCGGTGTAGAATATGTATTCAGCAACAATGCTTGTCGTAAAAGGCGACTAACGGGATCGGGTGGTCAGGCTCGCTGACTTGGTTGATGCATGTCATCGCATCCCAATTGCGTGGATCGATGCTCATGTCAATCACTTGATTATTTACAGACCGCCGTCATACAGCTGGAATATTGCTGAGTGCGGCGTTAAACATCAAACAAACAAACAACAATCACCAGTCGCAAACTTTTCAATTACAAATTGTGATTTGTTTACTGTATTTCAGATTGACCGGGAAATAGTCAGCATAAGGAGGCCAGAAGAACAGTCACTTACCCACACCACCAGGACTTACCCACACCACCAGGACGCAGCCACAAGGGCAGGACTTCGACATCCTTTATGCATGCATTTGTGCAGTAAATTTGAGTTTATTGCAGAAATGCGTTGATTCGTTATTGTTTTGGTAACAGAGATCTAACAATATAATAGCCACTAGCCCAATTCGTAAGATACTGTTCTGTCTAGTAGTGAGTGAGTTGGGTTTAACGCCGCTCTTAACAGTATTCCAGTTATATCGCGGCGTGTCAGCTTACTGTGGGAAGAAAGCCCGAAGTGATGCAGGTCTCAGACGTTTACCACTTCGGTGAAAACCACGAGCACGGGTATGATGCTGACAAACCTAGAAACATATCGGGGCGAACCGGGATTCGAACCCACAATCATAGGTTTCTGGCGTGCCCAAGGGACGCAACTCTGCACAGCGAGTCGCGGCGCCTTAGACGACTGGGCCACCCGTGCCCCCGATTTCTGTCTAGTAAGCTCAGCTGGTAATGGTGTACTTACTATTAACATCGAAATCTATAGAAAGTTCGGGCTAGTAGACTCCAAAAGTTTTGGCGAGGCTGAACTTCAGGTTTTGAAAGCCTACATATTGTGTACTTCTGGGCATAACATCCGGTGATTCGTTCATCCAGGCGATTTCACTGCAAGACCAAGGATATCGTCTGGATAAACTAGGCCCAGGTATGGTAAGGAGTATAGGGACCCTTTTCACCTCACTATACAAGGGTAGATACCATTGGTCATTGAACTAGTCTGCAGCTTATATTGACCGAGTGGTACATGTACTTGCCTTCAGGAATTTGTACAAGCCCCAGGTTAGTGTTGAGTATAAAATAACCCTGATCGACATTCTAAGAGTGCTTGGGAGTCTTACGTTTGAGATATTTCTGAGAAATAACAAAGCTTACTTTTAAATCTAAGAATTAAAATGGTAAGGGATATGCCAACTGTTCATGTTCAGTCGTGGGCCCACATACAATATTTATCGGAAATGACAGCACTGTCACTAAACAGTCAATTTATGCATTAAACAATTACCGTATTCGACGTAATAAGAGCCCAGGGCGCTCTCAAAATTAGAAATAGGGGGCTCTTATTAGAATATAATTTTGGTGACAAAAGATAAAGATCGTAATTTTCGTGGTTTATGTTGACACCCTGAAATGTTTATATACAACAGATATATTTTTCCAGAATGTAATTGCCCATAATTAAGGGTGCATATAATACACGAGTGCGTATTATACACGAATAAAGTCTTGTGCACATTGATCAATCGGAAGAGGGATGTCTTAATCTGAATTTGTCCGATCTTTTTTACTTTGTTTTAAAAAAAACTCTTAAAGGACCATTTTGCTACTAGCTATACGTATCACAGTGTCTTTAGATGGCCCAGGTTATACATTCATTCACTTACCAGTGTTGCTAGGATATTCACATGCATTCAAAGTGTAATATTGGGATTGGACAATCGCAATAATAAGTGACAGGTGAAGATCCAGAGTAGAACAGGTCTTCAGCAACTATGCTTGCCGTAAAAGGCGACTAACGGGATCGGGTGGTCAGACTGGCTGACTTTGTTGATGCATGTCATCGTATCCCAGTTGCGATCCATGCTCATGATGTCAATCACTGGATTGTCTGGGACAGACTCGACAGACTGTCGTCATATAGCTGAAATATTGCTGAGTGTGGCGTTAAACATCAAACAAACAAACACAAAACACAATAATAAGCATATTTAGGGAGCAACAATCCTCTTTAAGCTTTGACCATTAAAGTAGTTCCCCTTTGCTGTGGGTTGCTTCTAAATTCATAGAGGAAAATCACTGAAATATGAGTTATTTACGAAAGCCTCAAAGACTTATAAAATTGCAAATTATAGAACATGACTACAAAGATTAGATAAATCATACATAATTCAGATAAAGAAATATGTATTAAGAAAAAGATATATTTTGCACTTCCTCAATCATTTGAAATGTGTTGAATATTGCAGTAGTTTACACATGATATTTTCTATATTGTTAGGTTCAGGTAAACTCAACGGGTGAGAACGTAACGCTAGCCCGCGACTAGTACAAGTTCCTGTGGGCTGGGTCGTTACTGAAATTTAGGTACATCGTAAACTACCCGATGAGAGTGATCACCTGTGTCTGATTTATCAAGACAGCAATAATCTTTCTGAGACGCCTCTTACCATAGAATAATCTTTTGAGAAAAAAACAAAACATACGCAAACACGAACGCCGAAGTGAACTTTCCGCCATATTGGATTATGTTTAGAAAATCGCGTTTCCAATTGACCAGTCATGAGAAGTCAATTACATAACAAACATTTCCCACTAACTGTGACACATACAAGTGTGAAAATTAAAGTCACAAAACCTCCATAGCCACAAAGAAATATCTACTAAAAGCAGAGTCGCTCGTTCGATTCCGACCGTCATGAGCGTGCGTTTATGAATCACAGCCAAATTATGAAAACCAGGTATTATTGAAAGAGGCTAGCGTACCCTGCCCCACCGGTGGCACACATCACAAACACTTTCAGAGGCAAGTAAATTGTTCACCCCCCCAAAAACAACATGGTACAAGTCAAAATAGAGAACCAACGCTCCGAATGAAAAGGGGCATAACTCTGCAATGTTTCAGACCATATGATCGTAACTAGGCTCTCCCAGAATGGATCAGGGCCTAGATTTTCGAAACGATCTTAGCTAAGATAAATCGAAATCGAAACTATCGTAATCCTGTCGCAGATCGTTCAGAGTTACGATACCCATCGTAACTCTGACAGGGAACTCATTTGTGTTAAGAGATTGAAAAAGCGGGGTGTGTCCCAATGACGTCACTGGGATTTCCCAGCTGCTGACAATAAAAACAACATAGATAAGTGACAGGGAATTCGTGATCACATTGTCAGGTCACATTGTTAAACATGCACATATTCGAGTGAAATTCTGTACAATCCTACATGTAGACGTTTTGTTCTTATGATTAAAGATACCATGACTACCCGAACACAAATAGCATTCGTGTGCCATGCAATAGCATTTTTCAAAACCAATAAATGTTATAATGAATAAGTGTAGTGTTACCACACTCTATTAGAATTGAACTAATGTGCGAAAACATGTCAAAAGTCAAGTTTATATTAGTGTAAACACCATCATTATACGTGGAAACACTCAAAACAAAAATTGTTCAGGACGCAGCGCACCCACAAGCAGGTTTTTATAACAATCTAAGCTTGTTAAGTTTGTTTTGTTACTTATGTATCCAATATATTTCACGAATTAACCAAGGACTTAAATTCAATATCAAGCTATTAGTATTTAGATGATGGAATTATTTTATTATCTATCTAGATCCATAATTATTTTCAAAATTTAAAAGTGACTCTAATTTTCGTTCGCAAAGAGAGATAATTTAGGAATTGTCAAGTTATGTTGTCTTATGGAACGCCACAAGTTAACGTGAACATACATATGTAGTCATTTTCTATCCTTTTAAATTAAGTAGAGCTAATAAACTGATTTGTCTGATTTCATTTAAATCTGGCTGAGGAGCGAAATACTTTGTAATGTGTCAAATCTATTCCAGAACGTAGTTCAATGATGTTTGGCTTGTCTGGAGGAATTGCTGAGGATCATTTACTAGTATTTTTCCGTAGACCCTATACAACGATTTGATTGTCTGAATGATCTCAAGTATATATATAGATATAATGTAAACATAAAACGGGAAGATGTAGTCTTAAATATTAAAAAGACCAAAATATTTTAAAACCGGTTTATTGAATGCAAAGATTATTGTGTTGAAAATGTGTATTTTATATTAATCAGTAAATTTCATTCAATGAACTTTTTTATCAAGAGGATATAGATAACATAGGTATTGAATTCAAAACGAAACAAATTACAATTACTTTTGCAAGTAAAATATTGAATATTGTATAGAAATATGACCACATGTCACATGTATTTCCTTGTTAAGGTAATAAATACTACACTGTATAGTTGAAATTCAATTATTAAAACCACCCGTCCCACACGATTTTAGATGTAAAAAACTTATGCGAAACCTTTATGGTTTTTTTTACATATGTAGAGTCATATAACTTTATAAAATGCGAAAATAAAGACTAAAGCATTGACACAAAGGCGATCCAGAAAATATAACAGCGGAACTCTGCGCTTTATGAAAACTGTAACATAGAGCAAGGTGTCCCGGGCGAATACAAAGGGAAACCACTCTCAACTAGAGTTTGAACTAAGATTAGCTCCCCCTGAGTTATCAATAAGGTCACGGTCATTACTGTAGCCTGCCGACACCTTCCGTTTTTATCCTTCCCAAAGTATCGAAAAGGTATGTTGTTTCACACTTCTTCAGCATTGACTCGGATAGAAAAATATTATAAGCTATCGATTCCACAGTTATGTGGATCGCTGTCGCGATTAAGAACATTTTTGACGCTTTCTTCGTGTTTTCGAAGTGTCAATTTGAATCACTCAGTTTTACAAAATGAAATGTCAATGTTTAAACATAAAGCAGACTTATTGTTTGGCAAATTATCTATGGTAAAGTATGCCGCCATCTTGGATGAAGATAAAATAAACTTACGACAGGTATGGGGCTATCTTAGATTTACGACAATCTTAAGATATCTTAGAGCTACGATAGTTCCGAAAATATGCTACGATAGCCTACGATTTCCTTACGATAAATTTACGATAATTTTAGGGCTACGATCGTTTCGAAAATCTAGGCCCAGGACAATATCTTTCTTATGTTCACGAGTAACCGAACTGTTCCGGAAATATCGACTTGCTGTTTTCTTATAACGCCTATCATACTACATATGGACGTTGGTTGGTTTGTTGTTTCTCTAAATAATCGAGTCTGGACCAGACAATCCAGTGATTAATAGCATGAACATCGATCCCAGAATTGGGATCGATGACATGCATCAACCAAGTCAGCGAGCCTGACCACCCGATCCCGTTAGTCGCCTTTTACGGCAAGCATGGGTTGCTGAAGACCTATTCTACCCCGGAACTTTCAGGGGTCACATATGGAAGTAAGTACCAG